GCCAGTAGTGTGTTGAAGTACGGTGACTCGACGAACCCGGGACACTCGCAGGAGGCACACACGCGAGTACGATCTGCTCCACGAACCGGGCAAGATAAGAGGATTCGTTACATGGTGGTCATACAGGGGCTGTCTCGAAGAAACGAAGAGTCAGTCCACGGTGATAACGAAGACGAGAAGAGTCCAGAAGTACAAGAAGGAAGTCAGTCGAATAATTACGCAGGTTTACAAAAATTACGGGGTACGAAAATGGTCGCTGCTACGATGGTCGCCACAGTAAGTAAGAAGGCGCAGAAGGCGCGTCGAGTGCGGAAGCCCGGTGAGGAGAGTTCACCTAGCAGCACGGATTCCGAGTCGAGGCATCCGGTGACGAGAAGCCAAGGCGCGAAGAAAGTATTGACTTCGGTAACCAAGCGTATGAGGGTGGAACAGCGTCAAGTAGCCGAGCCAGCCACGGATCAGGCGGAAGAGACTCTTATGAAGGTTAAACGAAGGGCGTCAGAGAGGCAACAGCGGTCGACTTCGAAGGGCAAGGATGCTAAGGAAGTCAAGCAGTCCCAGTCCACGACCGGTAATGACAAGAACACCGCAATGCGAAGGAAGGTGCTGAAGAAGCTGGGATGCGGAACGAAGACATGAGGCGGATGGCGTCCACTATGCAACAGTTAACGAGGGCGGTGGCTGAGTTACAAGCGTCTTCTAAGGCTACGCGTGGAGTTGACGGTGAACGACGTCCCAAACGCGCACGTGGATGATCCCAACGACGTGTGCAACGAGTACGTCGAGCATCAAAGGTCGACGGAGTTGTTGAAGAGGCCCAGGATGCCGAACACGATGGACACAATGACGATGAGGCACCACGAGGTGATGAATTGGTGACGAGTGCAGCTACGAGTGACTGTGTAGCTCCGGACAATCACGCAGACCTGGAAGCAATGGCGTCCGCCATTCAGAAGTTGACGACTGTGGTCGCAAGACTGCAGCCAGCCCCGGCAAGAGTCCAAAGGTACAATGTTGGTCGACGTGTGGTGCGACGAAGTGAGTCGCGTGAGGAAGGTATGCGCTTGAGTGGTGATGAAGACAACAGTTCATCCGGTTGGAGCATTAGTGATGACGACGATAGTGACGATGACCCTAGTGATGAGATCGGTGATCCTGATGATGATAACGGCAGCGGTGGCGAGAGCAGCGAGCCGAGTAGAAGTTCCAGCGCCTCCAGTGATGAGTCGATGTAATCTAATGATCGACGAGGGCGAAGAGAACGCCGACGCAGAAGACATGAACAACGAGTACGTCGTGAGCGACATGAACGACGTGGGCGGCATGCTCGAAATGTACAACATGAAGAACGGAGAAGACAACCACGACATAAGAGTGTAAAGGACTTGGAGTTGCCGACCTTCACTCCATCGCCAAAGGTCTCGGTTTCGACATGGATTGACAGAGTAGATCTAGCATTGAAAGGAGCAGCCGAGTCTGGACGTGGAGAATGGCCAGATCATGCGTTGTATTTCATCCTGGGAAACAAACTTATGGATAATGCAGCACGTTGGTGGGTGAACATGAATCGACGATTACCATCACGTGACAGG